AGAGAGAGAGGAGAGAGAGAGAGAGAGAGAGAGAGAGAGAGAGGAGAGAATGCGAGAGAGAGAGAGAGAGAGAGAGAGAGAGAGAGAGAGAGAGAGAGAGAGAGAGAGAGAGAGAGAGAGAGAAGAGAGAGAGAGAGAGAGAGAGAGAGAGAGAGAGAATGCGAGAGAGAGAGAGAGAATGCGAGAGAGAGAGAGAGAATGCGAGAGAGAGAGAGAGAATGCGAGAGAGAGAGAGAGAATGCGAGAGAGAGAGAGAGAGAGAGAATGCGAGAGAGAGAGAGAGAGAGAATGCGAGAGAGAGAGAGAGAGAGAATGCGAGAGAGAGAGAGAGAGAATGCGAGAGAGAGAGAGAGAATGCGAGAGAGAGAGAGAGAATACGAGAGAGAGAGAGAGAGAGAATGCGAGAGAGAGAGAGAGAGAATGCGAGAGAGAGAGAGAGAGAATGCGAGAGAGAGAGAGAAATCAGAGAAAGAGGGGGAGGGAGAGGGAGAGGGAGAGGGAGAGGAGAGAGGGAGAGAGAGGGAGGGAGAGGAGGGAGGGAGGGAGAGAGAGAGAGAGAGAGAGAGAGAGAGAGAGAGAGAGAGAGAGAGAGAGAGAGAGAGAGAGAGAGAGAGAGAGAGAGAGAGAGAGAGAGAGAGAGAGAAGGCGGGGGGGGTGAGTGAGTGAGTGAGTGAGTGAGTGAGTGAGTGAGTGAGTGAGTGAGTGAGTGAGTGAGGGAGTGAGTGAGTGAGTGAGTGAGTGTGTGCGTGCGTGAGCAAGCAAGAACATGCGTGTGAGTGCATGTGTACACATAGTAAGGAAGGAGAGAGAAAGGATGACAGAGACAGGATTACCTAACAAAACATGCTCATTGCAGTGTGTAATCCTCTTATTCCAGCACCATATTTCCTACAATTCAAATGAGGGGAAAAATCACTCTCTCTCTCTCTCTCTCTCTCTCTCTCTCTCTCTCTCTCTCTCTCTCTCTCTCTCTCTCTCTCACACACACACACACACACACACACACACACACACACACACACACACACACACACACACACACACACACACAAAATGTCAATCTGTCACTTATTCTTAATAAACACCGATCTTTTTCTGTGCATGTCTCAAGAGTTGCCCTGAATGCAGATTTTCCACCAAGTTTGATGGAATCTAAGAGCATTTCCTCCAGCAAAAAAGGGAAAACTAATTTGCATACCATTTTCTTCACCAAAAGCCCCATAATTACATCTGCACTGCTAAGATATTATGCTTATCCATCATTTTTTAGTTTATACTGTTTTCCCAGCTAGAGAATTGGCCAGAATGATTATACAGATAATTCGTAGTGCATATAATTGCTAAACAGATATAAAAAGTCAAAAACATAAACATGCAGTTCCAAACTTTTACCTTCGTATTAAAAACCATTATTCAACAAAAGCGAAATCTAATACCTTCTTCACTGTATGCTAATACCTATTCAAATCGTGTTTCTGAAACACTGATTCACCCGAAAACAATTTTTGTACCTTTGGTTTTAGAGTCAAAGAGAGGAAAGAAGATGACATTGGATAAATCAAATATTATATGAAACACACTTGCCAATGATTGCAAGATAAGAGTTTAGACAATGTACCTGATAGTAATCTCTGTGGATTAGATTATATCAATATCCTCCTCTGACAGACACTAACTATATCCCATGAGGTCACAGTGCCCTTATTTAATACTGAAAAAAATCTGCATAAAAACAATTAATTTACATATTACAGGTTCCTTTTGCTTTTTACCATATTGCTGTATAATCCTCCCTTCAGTCATATATTTCTCTGTTCACTTAATAGCAACTCCAACGGCTATAATAGAACATCAACTTCTTTCTTGATCCCATGGACAGTCCCTGTGGCACATTCTAAAAATCTTTATGTTTACATAACCCTTACTTGGTCAGCAATAATATTACAGGCCATTTTCTGAACATGATAATAATCTTCACAAGAATACATGGTGTTAACTCAGACAGGCTAGGCCAGGTCACAGATTTGATAAAAACTGAGGACTATATATTTTGTTTTCTGTTTGTTTTTTTAAATGGGCACATATCTCTTCAATCAACAGGGTTGTTGTGACAAATGTAGAAAAGTTATGAATAAAAATGAATGATTCCATAATGCAGGACACATAATCAACATTTCTGTCATTACATCCTTATAACTGCTTATCTTGTATTTTCCAACTTATTAAGAATTCTTAAGAACAGGACCACATCAAGCAGTGATGTAGCCTAAACATTGTGTGCTTTAATAAATGCCATGAAACCTCCACAACATATATTCTGGTAAGATAGACCTTGGACAGAATATACATGATGGAGATTTGCTGACAAAGCTGAGTATTGATAGGTGCAGAGGTACTAAGACACTATTCTCTGTGCTCTTAAGTCATGTGAGACCATTGGTTGAATCTACAAGGTTTCACAAAAAATAGGTTCCACAAAGTTTCCAACATATTATGATTTTATCTTTAGTAAATACTAACAAGATATCTGCAATAACTCAAACAACTGCCTTGTTAACAAAATATGACAAACCTTTGCCATGTACATTCTGGCACGATAGAGCTTAGACTAGTTCTGTATTTGATAATCGCCAGGTAGGTCTAAAAGCTGCTGCATCTTGCCACAACAAACATGGTGGATATTTGTTTGTTTTGCCTCAGCCCCACAGGTGTGTAGGTCACAGTAATTATTTAAGTCAAGATTTTAGTAAATAAGTAGAGGGATTTGGAGAGACTGCAGCCCTTATAATAACGAGGAAGAAAATCCTACTTTGAAAGGCACACTGGATGTTCTGTAAACTTTTTTGCTGGTATCCCATAATTTTGAAAAACAAAAGCTGCATTCTAATACAGTAATTATAGTTTTACAGTCATTGCCTTTCTCTCCTAAAGGTTTCTTACTCTGAATTTCAAAATGCTGGAGAAGTATACAAACAGTACTATCTTCCATGTTTTAAAAACTGATAAAGCATTTGTGAAAAAAAATCTCTTAATCTGCTGACCAGTAACTTCAGTTAATCAATCATTATTAGGTAGCATCTTCAATTTGTTAATATATGATATTAAACTTGAGTTTGGAGACAAATCATGAGTCCTCTGAGGGCTCTTGAGGTAGCATGCAATTAACAGTTCATTATCAAGCTTCTACGCATCACAATAAACATAGACAACCCTGATCAAGTTTTTCTATAGCAAAAAATGGATTTCGGATATGCACATAGTACAAGGTAAACAGGATATAGAATCAACTGATATAGTTGTAAATTGAAAACAAGAAATTTAATCACTAGAATAAATAAAAACATGATGATTATGCAGAACAGAACTGTATGAATATACAGTATAACAAAGAATACAAGTACAATCAATGTTGATATTCAAAAGGTTTCCTGCAGTTGCAGCCTCCATGCTATTCAACCATGAATTCTGACAAGATCGTGCAACAGACCGCCGGTGCTTTATCATCATATGAGTAGGCAGTTCATATGTTCAGAGGGGTTTTAAGTTTTTGACAGAACACAAAGTGTGAAGTCATAATGTTGCTTGATGCCATCAGATTTTTGACAAGTAAAATAAACAAAGTTAAGAGCACTTTTCATCACCTGATCATAATTATCACATGTACGTTTTATTGAATTTCCAAGAAAATGATCATCAAAGAAGGTATCAGTGCAAGCTCAATCCACCTACAAGAATAAACTTTGTGGGGGTCTGTTGGCCCCAGCCAAAAAGTCACATAGGCCAAAAAATAGCTTCACTGTATCTACTAAGCTTACTTATTCCATAGCGACTTCATTTTCAATCTGCAACAACTAATCATAGTCAATTTAAATCATCTACTGATTCCGAAAAACTGTTTACCTTTTGGCTGCTACCTAAATAGTACTATTCCACCTTATCTAATCTAACTGGAATTCACTTCAGTTAACCTTGCTTCACTTAAGTACCTCTTTTAAGCATTAGCCTTGTCCTCACAGTTTGATGAAGCATACATCAACAATTTCTAATAATGCTGAATATACTTCGGTGCAGACTTTTAGGATATTAACATATAATAGCATTCAATCTGGTACGACCATCCTAAAATCATTAACCGCAATCTATGATAACAAATCTGCTGCCCCCTTTAAACAAACCCTCAATAAACGAAGTATATTTGTCAACAACGGCATAAAGACCACCAAAATGGAAGTGGTATGACTCATAAGTTTTGACAGAGTTAAGACAAGAGGAAATGGCCCAAAAGAACAAATATTTTGGCCTCAAGTTCAGTGCCCGACCTTGACCAACATGGGCTGCCCATGTAATTAAAACTTTGCTTTGTGTTTAACGTGTGTGTGTTTGTTTTTGTTTGTTTTTTTTTGTACGCGGGGGAATAGAAATAGGTGTAGATTTCTAATTTGCCGTAATTACAGTTTAGAAGACCAGGATTTATCATCATATCATCATTTCCTTTCAGCTTACCGAGCCAGAATTTCCCTCAGAAAAATAACAAAAAAAAATAATAATAATAATAAAATAAACAAATAAATGAAAATAAAACTCCTCAAGCAAGCCACAAGACTTAATCAGAATCAGAACACTAATTCGGCTAAAACTGCAGTATCAAGGCCCATAAAATGTGTTTTAATTGCTCCAAGAGTCATCAAAAACATTTTCAACCCTGATAAGCTGTCAAAAAAAAATCTGACTCGAGTTGTGACACTGACAGACACGATTAAGTCACCCATTTATCTAAACCCACAATGCTCCCTCTTAACTAGGCACATCAACTCGAGAGAAAAAAAAATACATATATAGGCCTATAACCCCCCCAATATCCATTTCCCAAATCAAAACAACAGAACAGATGTCTTTAGGCCTACTACGAGGGTGTGAGAAATGTTTAAAGCTTCCCCCATCCTTCCCTGAGCTTTCCTTTCGGCGTGTTGAGAGGGGCACAGGGCATCCACGGGGCTTACCTTCATTTCCGAAGAGACTCCACAACTTGGCGATCAAAATACCCATCTTGAGTGGACGTAAGGGGAGTGGAGGGGGTGTTAACAGAGAGCGACGGCACAGACTGTCGTACAGACCTTCCTCCCTCGGTCGAGAGTTATTGAAAACTGAGAAAGGATTGGTTGGCTGCGAGGTTGACGTCACTCTAAAAAACTTCTAGGATGGGATTGGTTAATAGTGATTATGACGTCATTGCTAAGGTATATCTGTTGTGTGATTGGTCGTTTTGGTCTTTGACGTCATTGTTGAAAACTTCTGCAACGTCTGCTAGCAAATTTTCCTCGTTTGCTCAGTATCTCTAGAGGATTTTCTGTTTTGATTTAAAATCTTTGTCCCTTCTAGAGTACTTCTATAATTTTATTAAAATATATTTTATTCATGAATAGTAATTTATCAGGCGATCTTAGATTTGTTCAGGCTTGTCGATTGTTTGGCAAAAAATATGTTTTTTACATAAATATTTTTGATAAATTGTATATAGGTCATAAAATATAATTCATATGAAAGGAAAAGTAAACTTCTATTAGTCCTCATGAAAAAAATCAAATTAAAAAATATATATATAATGATCTTCTGATAAACGTAAGTAATGTTCTTAAAAATTCTCGCTAACAAAAAATTTGGTAGCTACTCTCATTAAATAAAAAATATATATTGCATGATCACCCATTTCTTCTCCGGAATTGATAAAGTTGAAAAATACATTTTAGGCCCGTTTGGCATGTAAACAAATGATTCTGCCTTACGCACCACACACACCACACGTTCTTCTACAGTAGACGAGCAAGAATAACTTTATTTTTTTACGAACTGCAGCTTTATACTCTAATAACTACTGTAATAACAAATGCCATGGGTGAAAACGTAGACGATAACGGTGTGCAGGATGATTATATGGACTCGGACGACGATAATGAAGTGCCAACAAGTAAAGAATTGCCTGCCGTAGCGTATCCTTTTCAAATGCAACTTTTCTTTTTGGTGGAGGTTATGTGTATGACGTTCCTCTATATAGGATTCACGTCGTAGGTCGCAACTACTAGTGTTACTGGCCGATCTGCCATGGTGTGTGTTATCCCCTGATAGAAGGTGATACTCACAGCAAGGTCTAGAAAATTATGGTCAGCTTATTCTGACTTCCAAAGTGGTTTAACTCGTTTAGGTTCCCAAAGGTAAGGGGTTCAGGCCTGCCCATGACATCATTCTTTACCTGGTCTGTTGTTGCAGTGATGTCTTGCATGCCAGGCCAATCTGATTTTTAGTTTATAAATTGTAGATTATAATTAAAATTCAAGTAACTATCTTTACATTGTCATTGATGTTAAATGAATGATGGTTTTCTTATTTTGAAATATGAAGGAAGTAAAGGTCTACAACCACAAAGCTATCAGTTGTAATAGTATATAATGCTTTCTTGCTAGTCATAGCTGAATGCAGTTGTGTGTCATTACAGTCATTTTTTTCTAAATATAAGGCCCAAGCTGTTTTCTTGCTTGTCCACAAATCTCCCTACATACCTGAGTTACGTAGGAGGCTAAAACGAGCAGACCTTATTTTTCTAGACTTTGACTCAGAGTTCATTATTTGTGCCATATTCATAACACTTCTTCTTGCTTGGCCAGATAGTTTGTGCAGATTACCGAGAGGATGAGATCATTTGGACCACTCCAAGATTTTTATTGTCCACATTGTAAACAGTTCTAGAATACACTGTATATGTTTTGTTAGTGTTCTGATGCATACATGACTTATCTGCTAATGACAAACATAAAAATAACCTTTAATAATAACAATAGAACCCCATAAAATTATCTTTTATCTGTCTTATGATTGCCAGCAAGTATCAAATGTCCCATTATCTCATCCTGCTGGTCCAGCTACAGAGATGGAAAAGAAGAACAAGCAGCATCACTTATCCTAGCTGCCAAAATCAGCATTGCAGGTGGTAAAAACATCTCGTCCAACTTGTTGAACAAGGACTTACAAACACAGCAGAGCAATGATACTGGTACTGAAAGTTTGTTAGGGTTGTCTGATAGCACTGAGACAGTGACAGTGTAGCTCCAAAGTTGGGGTCTTCTTTCCAGATATTATAAGCAATTTAATGAAGTTGAGCAAGAAAGGCCAAGAATTGTCACACCCCACTCACTCACTCTGAAGTAAAATCCATCTTGAATGCTGTACAGATGGCACCAGAACCCATCTAGGAGCAATGCTAGAAAATCTATCCCCATCTCCAATGAGTTAATGGATCCCCTGTCTGTTAGACTTCTTGTTTATCTTATCACTGATTCACCTTCTTAATCCATTACAAGTAGCATAGAGGGTATTGACACTGTTGCATACATATAAAGATACCTGCATTTTGCAAGTTTGAACTTGTGAAAATTAAATACTTCATGAATCAGCAACACACATGGTTGTTTCTGATAATCATCTATACTATACTATTATCCTACCTCTTGCACTGCATCTCACAGGTCCAATAGTTAAATATGTGCATGCTGAAAACTAATTCTAGGACCTAGGTTTTAAATATCATTCCCTATGCTATATGATTATGCTTGAAGTATCCCATACTAGTGTGTCGGTTCTGTGTAAAGTATCATGAGGGCTGTAATGTGAAATGGTGTTCAGCCAGGACATCAGTTTTTTTCCCCACTAGTTTTAAAGAGACTATGTTACAGTTTTCCTCAACTTGCTACCCAGAAAATTTGAGGTACCATTCAACAGTAGTCGAGAAGCAGAAATAGCAAGGAATTCTTTGCAAGTCGACCCAGAGCCTAAAAGAGGAGGATCAAAGAAAAGCTTTGCTGTTAAGGATAATATTCTTTGTGTGTAAGTATAGAAAGTTTTGGTATTCTATTTACAAGTAAGTGGTGAATATATATATATATATATATATATATATATATATATATATATATATATATATATATATATATATATATATATATATATATATATATATAATATATATATATATATAAAATATATATATATATAAAATATATATATATATATATATATATATATATATATATATATATATATATATATATATAAAATATATATATATATAATATATATATATATATATATATATATATATATATATAATATCTCTCTCTCTCTCTCTCTCTCTCTCTCTCTCTCTCTCTCTCTCTCTCTCTCTCTCTCTCTCTCTCTCTCTCTCTCTCTCTCTCTCTCTCTCTCTCTCTCTCTCACATTCTCATTCTCATTCTCATTTTTATGGTCTGTGAATTTTCTTCCTCACATTCTTTCTCCTTTGTATACTTATTCTTCATATTTTCCCCTTAAAATGACATCTTGATTCATGTATTGACATCTTAACTGGTTATAAACAGCATAGTAGAGTCCGGGACCGACATCCATGATAAAATTGTATACAAGAAAAAAGACACTATAATTTCTGCCTAGAGTTCAGAATGTAAACCAAGGTCCATGTGAGATGAGTGGATTCTAAATACCTTCCCTTGTTTTCTCATTCTTTCTTTCCTTCTTTCTTTATGTGCGTCTGTCTGTGAGTTAACTAGTATTTTCTGGTCAAGAGGTAATCCAAACTCTTCAATTCTGTCTTTCCTTTCATTGGAAGGTATATATGCAAGTAGGCCCAGTCTGCCATGATTTTAGTTTATTATTTTTGTTTGCATGTAAATGGCTCTAGAAGTCCTTAATAATCACCAAGGTGTCAATTTTGAGACCCACCTGATTTCACCTGTTTCGCTTTTTCCTTGACTTTTGGAGATAATTGCTTTTTATTACCATTAGGATTGTTAATAGCATTAAATAATCAATGTTAATGATAATAATAACTAATGGTGGTGATAGTATTTTTTTTTAAATCCTGAAAAATCAAGAAATGGAATAGTCACGGGAGGTCAGGTAGGCCAACTAATAGACTCCTTGGTAGCTAATTATTTATGGAACCATCTATGTGTAATCAAAGTCACAAAACAAAATTACAGTTAATAGGGAAGTTACCAGCCAATGGGATAGTTATTGCTATTGGTTATAGCTAAAGAGGTTAGGTATGATTAATTATTTAGTACTTGTATATTCATAGTTAAGCATGAATTCAGTTATTTACCCATGACTTCCAGTCAGGAAAACTCTGCACATTATTTATTTACTTCCTTTTTTTCAGAGAAATTCGATCTGTTGATGTGCGGCAGCTCAGATCAGCCGTGTGTTCATTTATGGATCTTCTGAACTTAGTGACAAAAACAATAGACCAGTTTGGACCTCCAGTACAGCAGGCAAAGAAAATGTGTGTGTGATTTTCTTCTTTTACATCTTATCATTATATTGCAAAGAATAGACTTGAAGTTATTGTGCTGTGATCATTGACTTTCTAATAACTGTTATTTTTAGTTAGGATTATTTTGATGAATTATTGTTTGTGGTATTTCAGTGACTGAATAGGATTGAAGAAACTGTGCTGATTTTTTGTAAGAATAGTAGTCATAACAACATTTGGATGGTGAATATAGATAAAGAACTAAATGGCCTAAGAGAGGGAGAGAAAATAAAAAGACATTAATTTTTTGGACATTATCAGGACTTGAGCTGGGTCCACCTGTATAGTAGGATAAGCAGCAAATATAGGGAAGAAAAGGAGAACATGGGGGAACACACTCCAGCACCATCTCCAGGCCGCTCCTATTATGGCTTTGTCTTGTACCTGTTGGGCTGGGCTGGCATTATTAGCTACTTAGCATGGGCTCTCATCCCCCATAGCTACTTGGCAGCACTTGGACTGACATACATCCCCCAGCCCTACTGGGCACTCGCCTTCCCTAGTGTCATCATAACACTTGTTTTGATATTTGTCTTCTTCATATACCCGTCCCTCAACTTGATCCTGGCTCTTCCTCCCCATGACATTAGAAACATTACAGATGATATGGCCATGAGAGAGGAAGATTATCCAAGGGTTGAAGAGTATGGTGTGCCTCCTGTGTGTGACTTGCCTATTTCTCAAGTTTGCAGAGCTCTGTATAGATGATGAATCTTGTTGTTTTACTCCAGGATTGAGATGTACACGAAGCTAGTAGTAGGGAGAGGCCTTATCAAACAGGTTTATTAAGAACTAGCCAATGGTTGTAACATAAAAGATTTTAGCCTTGATTGGAAGTTGGAAGTTTGTTTCACTTCACTTGAGAAATAACTATAGTTGTGATTTTTTGTCCATCAATCTTGAATTGCTTTTATATTTACTTTTTTCAGCAAACAAATCAGTAAAGCTGATCTTGTATGTGACTTATTCATTTGCCTTTGTGTCGAACTTTAAATGAAATAATGTAGTCCCTTATGTGTATTTTATGGGGTGATCAAGAGGTATTTCAATAATTGTTTTTTTTGTGACAAGTAAATATTTTTAATAAATTGAAATGTTCTTTGTTAAAACTGTAGAAACTGCTTTGTCTGATCACAGACTGAATGAATTTCATTGTACATGTTCAGTGGAAAATGTTGCTAAAAGTCTTCCACTGAATACTAAAAATTTCCAAAGAAATGGTAGGAAAACTTGTATAGAAAAAAAAAGAAATGTAGAGATTCTGGAACATATGAAACTTAAAAATCTGTTTAAATCTTTCTATTACATGAAACCACTTACTTGAATATATTTACTTACCATTATTAAGTACCATATTTGTTATATGGTAATTACTCGCACAAGAAATCTAAAATGGAGGTATAGACTGTCCTTTTAATGAAGGTGTAGGCAAAGATTTCATTAATACATTTTGTTTATTAGCATAAGTACAGCATAAGAAAATGCAAGAGCAATGTAAGGTTATAAAGTTTAACCAGATACTGGTAAAGAATATGCTACATTGCAAAATTGAAGACTCTCTGTATAAGAAGGATGTGCTTTGGTATACTGTGTTACTTGGTAAATAATTAAGGACTGGTTTTCCAAAAGCCAAAAGCTAAGTAGATAAAATTTTAAGTTTAACTTCTTAAATGATACACAAGTTAACCGAAATATCAAAAGGTGATAAAATGAAAACCCAAATATACAAGGAAGCAAATTATTCCATATACAGAAATAACTTCAATGGTAAAGAACTATGCATAAGTCATGGATAATGATTTCACTGGACATATTTGTGTGGGGATGATTTACATTTAATTTTTGTATCCTGCGATCTGATATTTCATATTATTTGTACTTGATTAAGAGATTATACATAGATGTGGTACCTGAATGCAGAATTGAAAGAAACTCTGTTTGAACCTACTGGGAATACATAATACCTTCAAATTAACAGTATAATTGTTTGTAACAATATAGCAACCAGTTGATTGAGAAGCCTGTAACATGGGATAGTGGAAAGCCAACAATATTGTCAAAGCTAAATATGCATACAAGTCTGTTTCTGATGTATGTTGAAATATTTCATTTTTACACAAAATTTCCTAGAAGATTCTTTAATTGTCAACCAAATTACTGTTATTCATCATAGCAATAGCAAAGTATGGGACTAAGTTTGGCCTGTTTTATTAACCACATCACGTCCTTACATCCCAAGTTAAGACAGTGAAAAAGTGGCATTAATGTGTATTACCTAATTTACACATACAATAAAGAGTTTAAATGAGATTCCTATAACAAGCCAAACCTGTTTATCAGTGATCTGATGATTCATGATTTTCTGTTGATAAGAGGAATGTTCTTTGTCTTATCAGATATTAAAGCATTAATAAGTAACAAGTATGTAAACACAGAAAAAACACTACACATCATAACACACATCATTATTTAAATAAGACAAACAACTTGATTTCCTTTTGCAATTTCATTAGAAACTCTATCAGTCGCTGTTGATTTGGCAGCAAATGTTGCAAGGCAAGTGCACAGTAGTAAACCTAAGCTCCCTCCCAGCACTGCATACATGGCCCATCCTAGAAAAAAAGATATGGTTACTTTTTTGTACCCTGTGTACATTAAAGCAAAATTAAGGTATATGAAAACTGCAGATTATATTATACAACTTTCATTTCAAAACTAGGGTTGATTATAAATCTATCTATCTATATAGACAGATAGATAGATAGATATGTTTTTTTTTTCATTCAACTGCAAGAGAGAAAGAGTACACGTATGTCAATTATCCATCACAATGTACAGACAACGTTGCATACATACCTACAGTACATGAACTTGGATAATAGAATCCTGCATCGTTACCACACATAGACCTCACTCGGAACGAATCCCAGCCGAGCGGGAATATTGCTGCACCAAGAAGACTTAGGACACCTGTTTATTTGAGGGAAGAAAGTGGTTTAAAAGAGTACTTATTAGTAATTAAGTAGTAATCCTGTTTTGACTTTTTATTTGATATGAAAATATTCTGTTAGTTATTGATAGGTGTTATATAACCTCTTCCACTCAATCTACATCTCCCCCCTCTCTCTCTCTCTCTCTCTCTCTCTCTCTCTCTCTCTCTCTCTCTCTCTCTCTCTCTCTCTCTCTCTCTCTCTCTCTCTCTCTCTCTCTCTCTCTCTCTCTCTCTCTCTCTTCTTCTTTCTCTTTGCTTTTCTTCTATTTCTTTTTAACCATCTCCTTCTTTTTTCTTCTTATTCTTTATTTTTTCCTCCTAATCCTCCCAAACCTCCTAGTACTCATCTTCCTCATCCTCTTCCTCTTTCTCCTCCTTCTCCTCTTTCTCCTTTTCCTCCTCCTTCTCCTTTTCCACCTTCTTCTTCTTCTTCTCATCCTTCTCCTTTTCCTTCTCCTTCTCCCTCTTCCTCTTCCTCTTCCTCTTCTTCTCTTTCTTCTTCTTCTTCTTCTTCCTCTTCCTCCTCCTCCTCCTCCTCGTCTCCTCCTCCTCCTCCTCGTCTCCTCCTCCTCCTTTCCTCCTCTCCTCTCTTCCTCCTCTCCTCCTCTCCTGTCCTCCTCCTCTCTCCTCCTCTCCTCTCCTC